AGTATCAATAAAAACAGCCAGGTAATTAATACAGTTTACCCGGGATACTAGTTCAGAGCCAATCGATGCCGGTTCAGTTGGGAAAGAAGACCGTGATAATGTAAAGAGGCATTCTAAACATTTGGAGGAATTAAGAGAAAGGCCAGATGTGGCGGCAAACCTTTGAACGTTATTCAAGTTGTCTGAAAATTCTGAAAGACCGGAAGAGTCGGAGATGGCCAAACACAAAACCACGTCGTCAGCATATTTGAAGAGAGAACTAGGGACGCTAGCAGACAAGTCACAAATATACACAGAAAATAAGTACGGTGAAAGAACTGCACCATGGAGTACTCCAGAACTGTTCCACAACGGTTGGGATTTCTTCCGACCTAACCTGGAACACTGAGTTCTCGGCGAGCCAAGCGAATTACTGTCTAGGACAATTAAAGGTTTCCAGTTTACGAAGAAGAAGGGAACGAAGAATAGAATCAAAAGCAGGTGGATAGTCTAGAAACACAGACTTCGCAGAGTCATTCAATGATTTGATAATTTTATGTAAAAGAGAAAAAACTGCATCTGGCGTGCATCTGTTTGGTTTATAGGCAAACTGAATAGGATCACACGGACAGCAATGGACGACTGAATGCGCTTAAGAACAACACATTCTGCTAGCCTCAGTCCAACAGAGGTTAACGCGATAGGATGAAAGCCTTTGGTTAGAATGTTTGAAGTGGAGGCTTTGGGAATGGGAACAATTGTTACTGGTTTCCAACAGTCTGGTTTAGAGCAGATTTTAAGGAACTGTTCAAAAATGGTGTGAACATTTCACTGAGAGAATAGGCCCCGTATCTCAGAAGAGAAGATGAAAGACCATCGGGACCAACACTGCACGTGGTTTTCACGATCCGCAAAAGCTCAAGAGTTTGTTCTTTCGAGACAGCCTCTGCTTGAACGTCATCGTCTAGAACAAATGTCNGATGAGTGGATGAATGCTGCATTCACACTGTCCAAATCCGTTGCGTAATCCGGCGTTTTGGACTTAGTTCCACACAGCAATTTGATACCTTGCCAAATTCGCTTACTGTTGTTACATTGCAGAAGCTGGGATGCGTACGAGGCAGAGAGGAATTTTACTTCAGCTTTGATCAAGTTTGTGTAATACTTGACAGCCGTTGAGTTTCTAGACTTCTACGATCGTTCCTTCTATCTTCTGAATGATTTCAACAGCGGAGGTACTATTCTGCCGTTACAAACGAATAAGATTTCAAAAGGGCAGTGTAGATAAAACGTGTGGTTAAGTGTTTCAGTGAATAAGTTGAAGGCATTACGTAAAGAGGGATAAGAAGCAAACCACGAAGAAACGACAGTGATGGAATGCATAAGAAGAAGGGTGTTTCTTGGGGAGAGAGTGCCAAGACGAATGGTGATTCGGTTGGTCCTTGTGAGCGTATTGTGAATGGGACGGGAGTACCCTGCCGGTCTTATGAGAATCAGTGCATGATTACTAGTGGAAATAGGTGCTGTGAGTTTTCGGGCAAAATGTTCCGGATGATTAGTAATATCTTGTCTACAAATGGATAGGCAGATATCGGTTAAGCCAAGAGAAGCTATGGATAGTTGGATGCATGATTAAAGTCACCAACAATGATGTGGAAGCTATCTTCTATGAGGGAAACGAAAGACGGAATAAATGCATCAAAGAAGGATGACATGTGAGACTGGGTACAAAAGGGGGTTATGTATAAGTTGATAATGATTGTACTTCTGTATCGTGAACATCTAGGGAAACATTGAATAGCTAAGCAGTCGATGCCATCGGCGGAATAATCAAAAAGAATTTCAGACTTGCCGCTCCAGGTTGAGTTGATGTACGTGATCACTCTACCTTCTGTTTTCTTCTTATAGCATTTGAAATCATTGATTCCAATTAGTGAGTCCTCGGCAGTATGGTCAAGCCAGAATCATTGAATACAACCAAAACACGTGTTACGGTGGATGCATGAATCAAGGGTGCACGTTAGATCCGTCATATTTGCGAACAGCGACAAGGTGTTCGTGCTGATCAACGAGGAAAGTTATTTTCGATGGTGATGTGCGACTAAGCGCTGCTTGCTAGCCACCGCGGTTGCGTTTCTTCACCTCAATAGGAATCCGAAAATGAGCCGACGAGGACATAAAAGACAGTATTGAGCGGATCATGCTTGAAACTCATTAACTGAGACCACGAATAGATCTTTCGAGTGGCCATTATTCGCGAAAACGGAATGATTCCGAGAGGGAGAAAATGTAGCGCAGTATGTCGAAGGGTGCGCCAACAAAAGGATAATCCGTGCATTCGAGGTAGCCGCGAGCCATGGGGAAGGAGTTGGGTGCCATTATTCGTATTGTGTAATGTAATTCTGATAGTGAAGTTGTTCGTTCATAGATGTTCATCGGTGTTAATTTACCCATAGTTTTTACAAACGGAAATTTTCACTGAATGCGTGTGCATGACCGTAAGTCGATTCATCAAATATTCATGGTTACGAAGCGAAAGCGGCGTATATGAATCATCTGAAATCAAATCACGGGGCTGAAACTGGTGTTTGTTTATGAACCACTCTGCTCAAATGTCTCCTTTAAATTCATGGATCACTTTAGAGTTAATCCTTTTGCAATCATTTCCGATGTATTTTTTTGTGCTTTAGATGAATGAGCCTTATTGTTGAAACTTATTCGCTGATGATGTTTTGGTAAGCAAATTCGTGTTCTGTTACACGAGTGACACGAAGAAAACTGGGTTGCTCCGTTTCTACGACGAACGGGTTTTTATCGTTTCCAATAGCTTCACACACGAGGTGTAGTACTATGTTCATTTTCCGGTTTGCGTCGGGAAATCGTCGAATCTCTGTCGCATTGTTTGTGCAAATTGTTTTGCCTCATGGTACTCTTGTGGCTGACTTGACCGAATCAAGGAATGCTCGACAAAATCCATACCGTGCTACCGCGTTCTGACGCGTGCACACATCCTCACGCACCCGTTCGGACGCGTCCGTGTGCGCCCTTGCGTGTTTGTCCTGGTCAATGGTATGTCTGTCTGTCTGACAAAACACTTCGCCTTTTCGGTGAGAAATTCAGAGGTATGATGATGGTAATTAATGTGCGTATCACATGCCGCACAACTATCGCCACTCCCACTCACTAATTCAGAATGAGAGGAGGGGAGGAGGAGTTGCGTTATTTCGCTCGCCGAACGTTCACATACTCGTGAATGTCTTTGGAGAATAGCCAGACGAATAAATTGAGACAAAACACCACCCAGGGCAGTTATCATTTGCGTCGAAATGCAGACGCTAGTCTAAGAGACTAATATCTCCCATGTGAAACCGCCGGCATACATGGGTGGTTCGGAATGGTCGTTCCATTGCTCAAAGTTGTAATAACCAGCGGAGTCAAATGGACAGATTTTCCGCCCTTCTTATGCTCTAACGAATAGATATGGACTGAACTGTTGTAGATCTGCTAAGCAAGACCAAAGTCTGCTGTGTTAAGTTTTATTGGAAGCTTAGAAGCCCGACTCGAAACACCTGGTGAACTATATAATTCCTTCGCAAGAGAACATCACAGTGCGGGTTTATGTTTGCCATCATCGGTTGTCCGTCGCTGCTTGGGTTAACAACCTAAGTGGTTCGGTCGATTACTTTGCCTAGAATTCCGTGCTTGCCCACCCGAACTATTGCAGCGTATTGAAAGACAAACTCCAATGAATGACACTTTCCGTTTCCAACACTAGTGGTTTCCCTGCTCGGCACGGTGATAGTTTGCACTGCTTTGGACCCAAATGAATTTTCCCATCACGAAATGTTTAACTGCAGAGTGCATTGGGACAATGAATTATTTACAAACCGGTTATTATTATTTGGATCGATTTGAAAGTCACTGTCAATGCTGAATGTTAGGGTGCGATCACTTGTAAATTGTTCTATACTTCACACTAAATTGAATAGAACGACACTTAATGGACAAATTCCAATTGTATAAAATTACGTGATGTAAACTGTGATCTTCCCACGCTATCTCGCTGTGGTGCATGCCGTAAAACTTTGCTCACTCAAAAACGCTGGGTGTTGGCAACATCAATGGGGTGAACCCGGGACCAGATCATGGGGTGATTTTGTGGTCGCATTATTTTTTGCGTCCCGATTGGTCAGATAAATAGATTAGACTCAGATACGTGCGTGACCTGCATCATTGATCATCATGGAGAGTGAAAATGAAGATATATCTATCGCTTTTATTGATTATCCACGAGCACAGAATTATTGGTAATTAGAACAAAAGGGTGGAAACCAAAGCAGACGTCTGGTAAATGAGTTTGATCTTACTAAGAAAGCGGGATGAGGTTGCGAAAGGAAGTACGTGGAATACGATTGGGTATATTTTCGGGGTTTTATTCACGTCGGGAACGAGGTCTCACCACTGCTGTTACATTTTGGCAGCAGGATCTTTGATCTCGACTGTACTCGGTGTACTGAAGAAAAGATGTTTCAATGACGTGTAACAATAAAAGGTAATCGTTACTAAACGTTTGTTATTCACAAATGTAGGTTTGCTTAATTTTGCTGTCTATAATTATTATTTTTTTAATATTCTTCCAAAATTGTCGCTGTTTCGTTACAAATCGGATGAATTCCGCATATTTGTATGGAATCTAAATGCAATAAATAACCAACCCAGTTTGTTACCAATAACCTCTGTCCAATTCCACCACACAATGCAACTTCAGCAGTGTATTGTTTCAAGTTACCATCCATCAATGCTACTCTTCAAAATAAAATAAGTTCCTATCTATCTACTGGAGTTAAGAGCTTATCATTTATTTGCTCTTCATCAATTCTCTCCCCAAAACCATTTCGTACAGAATACCTTTTGAACAAATACAGCGAGCTCGAGGGTGAAATTCTCACCGTGGAAATCCCTCTGTCCCAATTGATTGTGGAAGTGGGAAATGCCAAAGTCCCGCACCTCGGTCTTTGTTTGGCCGGAAATCGTGATTTGAATCAGATGAGCGTGTTTGTTTGTGGTATTCGACCTGGCAGTCTGGTTGAACGTGATGGACGAATAGAACTCGGTGATCAGTTGCTTGAGGTGAGTTCTACAGTCTCTGCTCTTGTTAAACGCAACCTTACTCGTAGTACAATGTGGCGCTCATCTCCCATCCCCATCCTATATTTTCAGGTATATCTTTCCTTTTCTCCTGCCTTGGTTTTGGGATTATTAGCCAGGAATCTGATGAAAAGTTAGGCTAAATGAAAAAAGCCTGTCAGAATAACACGAGAATTTTCACAGGTCGCCTTAGCCAATACGTACATCATATTTTACTTCATTGACCTAATGACCAGTTACAAAATTCACTCACTATGTTGATGAATTGGTCAGTGAAAGACAATTTCAGGGAAACGGGAATTTAACCGCCGGTGGTTTTTTACAACAGGAATTTCAGTTAAATTTAGCAATGAACCCGTTCACTGAGCACAAGTACCCACGGATACGCGAGAATAGAGCACATTGGAGCTGATTTCATGTATCTAAGTCGAGCAGACAGTTGATAAATGCCAAACGGACGTTCGTGATTTCACGGAGCGAGAGAGAGAGCAGGAAATTATCAAGCACATTGTGTTACGGAACGGACTGTTTGTTCAGTGTCTGATTTGCATAGAACAAGCAAACTATTCATCCACGAGTTGTGAAACGAGCACAGCCTTGACCTTGTTTATCCCACCGCCAGCCGGGACGGGTTTGTCCGCCGCGGAACGTCAAACGGATCACGTGGATCACAGGCACTGTTAAAATGTTTGCTCGATCGTCAAACTGTTTGTTGACCTAAATAAACAGATAGAGAAAATACGGTGGAAATTGATGTGTGTGTGCGCGCGCACCAGGGTTACACACACACACACACACACACCACTCGAGGACGTGTGGTCGTAGCTGAATACCAAAACGATCAATGAATACCATGCGTAGAACGACCTATCATTCGAATGAATCCATCGAGGCTAAATATTGCGTGGCTAGGTCGACATTCGCACATGTTGGAGCGAACAAATCCAGTTGTACAAACTGACCAGGATTCGGTCACGTCTCGGCACATCCTTCCGATTCCACACAGTGCATTCGGACAAGTAACAGGCCTGAATGTCATATGTGCCGCTGCTGATACTCCTTAGGATAGCTGTTCCGGTATTCTGTGTCAACATAGTCTATAGTTCAATGATGATCGATTTTTTTCCTATTGTGACCAGATCTTAGAAAACAACTGAAAAACCATGCCCCACAGAGAGGCTTATCTATATTGAAATTTTAACGGTTTAGCGAGATGTTACAGCCCTAATCAAACACACTTGTATGTTGAATATTTGCGTGCGATAAAATGCTGAAAGAACTGAATTACAATATTGTACTGAAGAAATGCGCCGGGATGATAGTTTTGGATTACCAGAGCAGAATTTTCGGTTGAATATCTTCATCTTTCGTTCGCAACACACACAATTCGCATTGAAAGCCGAGGAATGTTTGCAACAGAATTTTGTGATAAGATATACAAGCATATATTTTTCACCCGGATCAGCAGTAAGTGTATTATTTCTGTTTCTTTCCCCCCACCAGTTCGAATCTGGAACCGTCTAGTTGGTAGCCAGAACCAATTCGATGGGTCTAAAAGCACTAGACTATCGGGCCCGAAACTGCAGGTTAAAAAAATTCAACCGCCAACCCGACGATTTACTGTTCTAGTCCAAGCAGGGTTACAAACAGAATATAAGCGATAAATGAATACCAACGGAAAGAAAACAGTTTCCCGGTGCTTTCTGTTAATCATTACGCACATACATTCAATGTATCTGGAATTCAATACAGATCGGTATTTTGTTTCTAAAGACGACGGAATTCTCTGCATTGTTTCATGAACCAGGTTACCAGAGAACCCCTCTATCCATTTTCATTCAGGGATTGGTACATTTCTGCACATGCCAAAAATAGTTCCCAAATTTGTTCAGGGCACGTTGCGAGCCAAGTTATCCATTGTTTCTCGACTGTAGAAGAAAAACGGTTAAATTTGATTTTAAACCGGTGGAGAGCAAGGTTATTCATATAGTGCATTCTTTTTTTTAGTATATTATGAGCCAAGCCCAATTCAGACAGAGAACAACGAAACGAAAATGACAGCTCATTGTATGTGAATGAGCGGGAACACTTGTTTTCTCTTTCTCTTCCGTGAAATAATTAGTAAAAGCCATTGATCGGAGGAATCGTTCAAGTGCCATCTATCTGAACTTTTGTTCTGTGTGGATGAGACCGCTTGATAATTGACCATCAGTGGAACACACACTCGAACTATGAACAACAAAAGGGGAAAACTGTTTTCCAAACTTCTAGAAATTTAATAAATTATTTCCAGTATATAACCCACTACAAATAAATTGTTAACAAGACTAAGAAGTGCGTCTGATGCACAGATCAAAAATAGCTTTACATTGATGAGATGTATCCGGTACTAATTTTTGAACTCAGGCGCGTTGTATTTTTGCAATGGAATCGACGATTGGGCACCTAGGAAACGGTAATGTTATTGTGGGATGAGGCAGAACTTAGAACCGCGCCTTGGGAAACGTTTGAGGCTTCAATCTATAGCACTACGTCTAAGTACTTTGTTTCACACAAAGATGGGGGCAGCTGTTTCACATTGTGAAGTAAAAGAAAATGCTACTTTGAGATGATTCGATACTATTTCATTTTATCAGAAGGGTTGGCACGGTATATCGAAAAGGAAACAAGTTTGAATGCCTTGGGGGACTGAGAACAATTGACTGAACTGGATGAAACTGTACCGGTGTGGTAACGAAAGGTGGCTCTCCTAAAGCATATTGAAACAAGCAGTAATACGGCCTGTTCATTGCTGTACGTAGAGCGTGGGTTGCGGTGTCTGATGTCTGATGACTGGCAAGATGATTTTGTATTTCTTACTCAGTTCTGTAAGCTCGGATTGCATTATTTTAGTTTCTATCCGGATGGTAAAACTCGCCTGTCGTTGGACGGGGCCTATGTACAAGGATTCATTAGCGGCGGCAGTTCACCAGACAACGATTCTGTTTTTCAAGAGATCCAAGTGTATTGTATTCATGCAACACGGCGGGGCACAGTGAGCGTGGATACGGAAATACAACAGACTAAGCGGGAATAACATTGTGCAAAACGTTTATTCAGCGGACCTACTCCATAGTTTTTTTCATGCTCGTTATGTAGACCTACCAAGGTAAAATGGAATCACGTTCATCGTCAAATAGGGTGGTATAAACCGAGGAGTTTTTCAAAATAAACATCAAGATTCAAAAATGAACTTGATTGGTGCGCACGCATTGCTTTGGAACAATACCCAACTAGTCACTCCACGAAACGGGGCAAAGTAAAATATTGGAGACAGTCATTACACAAATAAATTTATTTAAATTTGTGGAAATGTGATTATAGGTTTTAAATGGAAATGAAGAATGATTTACCGCGAGCGTCAATCTCTTCGTCCTAAGTGATTTAAAGAGCGCGAAAAATATTTGCGCAAGATTAAAAGTAAACAAACATTTGGATTTTGAAAAGGATACACATTGTGGATTATCGCTTCTATCGTATACGTTTACTGATAAACTTCATCATCATACACTATTAAATTCTGGTACTGAGATTGGATTGGACTGTGTCGAGGTCGATTTTCGTTACAGATAGTCGATATTGAAAGAAACGAGCATCGATTTCTGGAATTATTCTACCTTTTTATTTGATGCTTTGAAGGAAATGACCATTCCTCAATCTTTCAATGAAACACAAGTCGAAATAAAACTGCATCATCTAACGGTTTTACTGATCTACTCAACCATTTCTTCTAAGTAATTCAGGTATCATTCATTTGAAGTTGTATCGTGTAGACATTCATTAATTCTGACCAACCAAATCTGCTCTTGTTTAAAAGAGCAAGAGAGCATTTCGTAGGCAACCAGATACACCATTCCATTGATTAGTTCGTTACCTAACCCCCTTATTCTTATGATTGGTCTATCAAGTCGTCCGTTCGCCTCTAGTCAGTTCGGTTGTTCGTTAGTCCGTCCACCGCATAGGATCTCTCTAGTTACTTACTCACACCGACTGGCGAATACTTTCTTGCAGTCTATCACATGTTCAGTCGACCGTCAATCGATTGATATATAGTTCTGGGATCTGCACAGCACTTTGCGAAATTCAGATATATGAACGACATGTTTCCTTTTTTTACCGCATCCTAGTTACCTAGCAAATTTGAAAGTATTTTGTTCACGGAAACAAGTGCATAACACTTTTACTCGGTGGTTGCAGATGAAAACCGTTGGATTGTGATAGGATGAACAACCACACGATATATCGAAAGGGAGGAGCATATGTTACAAACTCGGTGGCAGACTCCCCGTTAACTCGCACAATAATTCAACAAGACGTGGAATACCCATTATTTTAGATTCCAGACACCGTTGAGGTCGGGAGGAGGAGCGATAACCCTTTAGTGTGGGTCAATGAAAGTCCTGACCGAATTGAACATATTTAGCATATATACTTAAAAATATCACGAACGCTAATAAGTTGTGTTAGGATGAAGCTGTCGCGAAATAGTGGAATGCAAATGTCCAAGGTGTGGGGGTACTTGTTTGATCATCATTACAGAAGATGGGTCGGTGAAAGAAAATTTATTCTTATAGGAAGTATAATGGGGTAAGCTAACATTTACTCCTCTCGAAAGGAGCGTAGTTATTCTTTCCCGGTTGCTGCCTATCCGTATATTGACGTCGGCATCTGAGGAAACGAAATACCCGGCCATGTTAAGGGAAAATAAAACTCATCATTCAGATGAAAAGTTCTCCCAAACAGACGCTTTTAATGTGCAGAAGCTGTGTTTCTGAATGTGGATACATGGAAAGTGGATCAAGGATTTAGCAGTGTGAAGTTTTATTTCTTTCCGTCCGTTTAATTAATACATCAATTTAATCATCTGAAATTCAATGCAGTGGTTGAGAAAGTCACTCAGTCAAGTCAGCCGAGTTGGACGTGCACAACTTCTCTTCACATCA